ATTTACAACATTAACCTTGATCCCTAGTGAATTTCATTCACTTAGTATTGGCCTGTCTTGTTCTCCTAGCCAGCAGAGACCATTTCTACCTTCATTTGTTTCCCCTTCGTTCTCTTCGTCATCAGGACGATCTGTTTGCACATTGTCCGAGTGGGGTGTGAGAGCCTGGCAAGCCCCATTTGTCACTAAGAGTTTCTGACCGCTTGAGCCCGCTTGTCTTTCTCAACTTTTTGAAATCTGCTTTTCTTCCAAGATCTGGATCCATTTCTATGTATGTCCAGGATTCAGTTCCTGGTCTCTTGCAAATTTCAATTTTACCTTGTCACTTTCTCTCAGGGTTTCCATCATTTCTACTTTACCAAGCAGTTATCCTCATTGGTTGGAAGCCCAGAATCATGGTTTCTGTCTCACGGTTTCATTCTGAGAGATAGATCTTGTCAGAGGACAATAGAGGATTTATCAGCAGAATATCATGAATAGAGGTGTTCAAAAATTAGTGTCTCTCATGATAGCACTGTCTTATTTCTGAGCCGATTTTATCATTTCTATAAAAATATGTTATCTGCCTCTTTAGTTTAGTGAGCACTCTGATTCCATAGCCATTAGTGTGATATTCTTTCTTCTTTGAAATCACTTTATTTTTTTTTAATATATTTTATTGATTTTTTACAGAGAGGAAGGGAGAGGGATAGAGAGCTAGAAACATCGATGAGAGAGAAACATCGATCAGCTGCCTCCTGCACATCTCCCACCGGGGATGTGCCCGCAACCCAGGTACATGCCCTTGACCGGAATCGAACCTGGGACCCTTCAGTCCGCAGGCCCACGCTCTATCCACTGAGCCAAACCGGTCTCGGCTGAAATCACTTTAAATACACTTTCTCACATTTCCGCCCTAGCTCGTGGCTTTCCGGACGTGTGCCTAGTTCAGGGGTGGGCAAACTTTTTGACTCGAGGGCCACAATGGGTTCTTAAACTGGACCGGAGGGCCGGAACAAAAGCATGGATGGAGTGTTTGTGTGAACTAATATAAATTCAAAGTAAACATCATTACATAAAAGGGTACGGTCTTTTTTTTTTTTTTTAGTTTTATTCATTTCAAACGGGCCGGATCCGGCCCGCGGGCCGTAGTTTGCCCACGGCTGGTCTAGTTCCTTGTCCTTTCACATACGTGGGCAGCTTATTTTCACTGCACGTGGTGGAATGTCTGTGGGCCTCAGATCCAGTCAATCAGGTTTCAGTAACGATTGTGCCATCATAATTACCATCGTTTTTAAGGCTGCAGATTCTTTTTAAAAAAATATATTTTATTGATTTTTTTTACAGGGAGGAAGGGAGAGGGATAGAGAGTCAGAAACATCAATGAGAAAGAAACACCGATCAGCTGCCTCCTGCACACCCCCTACTGGGGATGTGCCCGCAACCAAGGTACATGCCCTTGACCGGAATCGAACCTGGGACCCTTCAGTCCGCAGGCCAACACTCTATCCACGGAGCCAAACCGGTTAGGGCAGGTTGCAGATTCTTTAATAGCCATTCGTCTTTTCAGTCCCCGTGCCTTCCCATGTAGACCTCTAAGACCACATGCATGTGCTCCAAGCCTTTTTAGCTTTCATGCCATCTTCTCCTATGTTTTGTACCAGTCATCTCATTTCTTAGCACGAAGCTTAAGAAGATAGGGACTTTTCTGGATTAATGAAAAATTTGGATTAATGAAAATTTTTTCTTTTTCTTTGGGTTTTGGGGAAGGATGCCCTGCATGCTGACTTGCCTTTTCTCCACGTTTTCTTCATCTTACCTGTTCTCTGGCTTAAACTGACATCCAGAGCACCTCTGCATCCAGCGTGTACCTGGTTCTGTTATTGCTCATTGCCTTCCTCTCCCATTTTTCTAGGCTTCAGCTTTTGCTAATTTGGGTTGGTGTCTCATAGGATTACAGACATTATTGCTGCTGCTTGTCTGCTTTTTTATTTCTTGGCAAAAGATGAATGTTCATTCTGAACCTTTTTTTTTTTTAAATCCTCACCTGAGAATATGTTTATTGATTTTAGAGAGAGAGGAAGGAGAAAGAGAGACGGAGAGAAACATCGATCCGTTGCCTCCCATATGCTCCCCAACCGGGCATTGAACCTGCAACCTTTTGGTGTATGAGACAATGCTCCAACCAACTGAACAACCCAGCCAGGGTCATTCTACACCTTGTTGAAAGTTAAAATGGCTCAGGGAAAAAGTCTGCCATGTGATTCCTGCCTCCTTCCCTCCTCCACAGCCCTCACTTTGCGACATGAAACAGCTGGGTTTGCAGGTTCACAGCCTTCTCCACTAGCAGCCTCCACGGTCGGGCCGCTTCTGTGGCTGTAACGGATGGAGTTTGTCACTAAAAAAAAAACAAAAATAAGGAAGTTATTGCCTGGCAGCTCCTCTGTTCCTTTGCCTGAGATATAAATAGTACTTGCCAAGTAAAAACAAAAACATTGTCACCCAAGGATGAATTCTGATCTCTCTTCGAGCTTTATTATACAACTTTTCAGAATTATAAAGTAGGATGCGTGCAGGGCAGAGAAAGCAACCTTGGAAAAGAGAGTTCAAATCAATAATAATTAACATTTCCTAGCCTCTATTTTCCTGCTAATGACTGAAGACAAGTACTAATTAGAGAAGCCTCAAGTGTCTGGATTTTTTAGATGGACCAGATGGTGCCACATAAGAACTATGCACAGCGCCAAGGAGAAGTCTGGGTGGTTCCTAGCTACCTTGCTTCCAACTTGACCTTGTCTGAGGACACCTGCGCATGCCCATTGCTTTGCACTGAGGCCTCTTCTTTGTTCCTTCTTCTCTATCTCACCCACTTGTGACATTAGGAGGTGTGTCTCTGCCATCGTTTGTGAGTGCTCTTACACACTTTTATTATTACTTTTTCCTTAACAAGTGCATTTTATTCATTTTTTCTTTTCAGATTTCTTTGACTCTTATGTTATTGCCTGATCTCACTAGACGCCCCCCCCCCAACACACACACACACACACACACACACACACACACACACACACACTAGTTCTTTCTCGTGATGACACAAAACCAGCCCAGAAGCCTCAGCCCCTTCAGTGGGTAGCATTGAGATGGTCCTGCCTCTTCTGTTTTTAAAAAACTCTTCTCACAGGTTGTCTGAAAACATGTTTTCTCCTGTTGGTTTGTACTTCACATTCTTTTCTTCCTTTGCTATGGAAGTCAGCCAACCAGCTCGGAGAAAGCATTGATTTCTGTGTAGAAATTTTCCATACTGTTGAGTGTGGATGAAGTTTGAACAGATGCTGCACGTGCACTTTACCATGTGCACTCATCCTAACAGGAGAGCAAAGCGTGGGCCCGATGGGGTGTTACCCGACGCTGGGGTGTTACCCGATGCGCGCTTTTCATCTGAGTTGTTTTACCAGTGTCTTCCACTCCTTTGCTGGGAAAGTTGTGATGCCCGATGCGCGCTTTTCATCTGAGTTGTTTTACCAGTGTCTTCCACTCCTTTGCTGGGAAAGTTGTGATGCAGTTACTCTCAGTGAAGAAACTTTGTCTTAATTTGGTGTTGTTGTTTTTGTCGAAACTTTCTTTGGTGGAACCAGAGGAGAATAGTGATTGGTTGCCATCAGCATTTGTGGTTGAAGTGAGAAGTACTAGTTTCTGTCCCTTTCCCTTGTATTTCTTGCCTCTGCTGAAGCGTAATGTCAGGAAGAACAGTTAGGGAGCTGCTGCAATAATGCAAGCAAGAGGCAGAAGGCCCTGAGCTTTGGGAAGAGTGTTAGACATGGGGAATAACTCACATTATTTTTTTAAAAATGGAAGCAAAAAGGATTTCTGAATATATTTCATAATCTTGTAAGTGCTTCAGAATTTAGAAACCACTGTTTTTCTTAGCGTTGCTGTTTTCTTTTTCACATGTGCTAGTTGGTACTTATCTAACTAATTAAGGAATATATCACATTTCTCACTTATGTACTTTCTTGTTTTGGAAATTACTTACTTGATGTCTATTGCATATTTTTTAAAAAAGCACATTGTAGGTTTCCTTCATTATAAAAGTAGAAGGGAAACAAAAATAACTTGTACTATCACCCGGACATGATAATTATTAGTATTTCAGTGTATTCCCTTTCAGTCTTTGGTAGGTATAGAAATAATTTACACATAGGACCAAAGAGCCAGCATTGAATTATGAGCTGTCATTAACTATTCATTATGTGGATGCACCAGGTATATTTTACATTTGTCCTATCATTAACCATTTAGGTTGTTCCCAACTCCTTCATATTTTAGCAAATGCTGTGGTAAATATCTTCATGAATAGGAAGTCTTCATGCTCATCCCCAGGATAATGGATTTGTGTACACATGAATTTTTAAAGTCAGGACTGTCTTCGAAGAGTTGAATGGAATAATTGTAAAGGTGGGAATGAGTCCTAATGACTGAGAGTTCCATGGGTGGAGGAGGTGGCAGGTGCTCAGCTGCCCTGCCTGCCCCCCCTCCACCAACTGGTCACCAGCTGGGGAGGAAATGCCGGAGCGTGGAGAGGTTCAGAGTACAGTGCTGGGGTCTCCTTGCCTCCCCCTGACTCATTCTCAGGTGAACATCGGTGCACATCTGTACCCACTATTTCAGTTTAGATGCCCTCATGTTTCCTGACTCTTCCTGGGAGATTTGTTTGATTTGGGTCAAGATCCGTCTGTTTATCAAAGAAGATAGCTTTTGTCCTCCATGTCTTGTTCCTTCCCAGCTGTTGGGCAGCAGGTACACCATCACTAAAATGCCTCTTGTAATCCCTGGTATAGGATTTTGCCCACCCACCTGTGTGTGTGTGTGTGTGTGTGTGTGTGTGTGTGTGTGTGTATTATTACATTGTGTATACAACCCAAGTTGGAAGTGAAGATGCATATACTTCATTTTTTTTAAATAAAAAAGGTTCATTTTAAGCTTTCACTATTTAATTAAAATTTCTTTTTCTCTTTGTATAGGTTGAAGAAATTGTGGATGTTGGATCCTTTGCCCCAGAAGACATCCATATTCCTAAGATTTATGTACATCGCCTTATAAAGGGAGAAAAATATGAGAAAAGAATTGAGGTAGTTGACTTAGCTTCACTGTCAGTATTTCCGGGTCTGATTATCAGAGACGTGTGTCCCTGGGTTCATTCCAGATAAGAGGGAATTAAAGCCTCGCAGGAAGCCTCGCTCTGAGTCTTAGTATGAGCTTCTCATGTACCCATCGTGAAGGGACATGTCACCTGTGTTGTTGTCCAGCCCAACAGTGCCCTGTGATCCTGGTTTCCAGGCTTCTGTGAGTGTGCTGACTTAAGATGCATAGCGTTGCTTCTCCCCTGTCCCTGGGGTAGAGAAGGATAAGCAGGTCTCTGAGGCTGCCCCCTGCTGGACTGTCCATGTTTGATCAGGCAGAAATGTCTGTCTGTCTTAAAGTTGCTTTACGGTTTACAGAGTCCTGGAAGAACGCCACTTCCCATTAGTGTTAGGCATAGGCTCTAGGCAGCTGGTGGGTAGGAGATTGTGGCAAGGAGTGGCTTGCAGGAGCATTGGAGGTATTTCAAGTGTACTCAGAGCTAGAAGAGTGACCATCTGGACCAGAATGGGTACCAAGATTCATAAGTGTCTAGGGATCAGCAACAGAATAAACATGTATTGGGGGTATCAGGGAATCAGAGATAGGCTATATCCTTTGGATGACAAAAACAAAAACAAAAAAAAAGGCATTCTGCGATCCAAAACTGATGTCAGCCGGCTAGGGAGAAGTGATGGAACATTTGCAAATAGGAACCAGAGTCTGTGTTAGGAGATTCAGCTTTGGAAATACTTTCCTGGCTAGTTGCTGGATATGTCTGAGCCCTGTGATGTGCTGGTAGCAAAACCAGTCCAGACTCTGCAGGTGGAAATAGGCTGTTGAGAGAGCAACACCTGGGAAACACACTCTGGCAGCCCTGCAAAAGCAGAGTCCAAGTCTGTTCCTGTTCCCTTCGTTCCGGCTCAGTGCCCAAGCTCTGGAGAAGAGTGCAGTTGTAGGAGTCTTGGGAGGTGGCAATAGCAGCAGTCAGTGTGACAGGAGCAGGGGGATTAATTGCTTCAAAGAGACAGAGCAAGTATACCTTGCCCTTCAAATAAATCTGACCTCAATCCCTTATTTTCTAAAGAATTATTTGTGCCCTGGCCAGGTGGCTCAATTGGTTGGAGTGTTGTCCTGTGCACCAAAAGGTTGTGGGTTCGATTTCTGGTCAGGGCACATTTCTGGTTTGATCCCTGGCCGGGGTGCATATGGGAGGCAACCAATTGATGTTTCTCTCTCACATCAATGTTTCTCTTGTTCTCTCTCTCCCTTCCTCTCTAAAAAAATCAATAAGCATATCCTTGGGTGAGGATTAAAAAAAATTATTTCTGGGTATTCTCTTTTTTCTCTTTTTAACTCTGTTATATTGCAGATTGGCCTCATAGTAGTAGTAGGAGAGAGTTCAATTTTTTTCTAGTAAACTTTTGTGCTTTACAGTGATAAAAATCCAAGGTGTACCTCAATTACGAATAATTTATTTCTGTTTATCTTAAAGCGTTTATCAACCCGGAAACAAGAAGATGTAAAAGCCAAATCCGGAAAACCTGGAGATAATGTGAGGGAGCGCATCATCAAGCGGGCAGCTCTTGAATTTGAGGATGGCATGTATGGTATCCTTTATCTTTGTGCGACTGGCAAAGACGAGGCCTTGCTTTTCCCATGTTCTTTAGGCCACCAGGCCTGCTGCACGGCGATTCTTTTATAGGCCTTTGTAACTTTTAAAGCGGTTGATCAGTTTTTACAAAGTGTGGCATATAATCTACAGATATCAAGATATATGAAGTTGGCCTGCCCGAGTATCTGAGTTGGTTAAAGTGTCGTCCTGATATGCCAAGGTTGCGGGTTCGATCCCCAGTCAGGGCACACACAAGAAGCAACCAATGAATGCATAAAGTGGAACAACAAATTGATGTCTCTGTCTCTCTCCCAAACCAATAAATAAAAATTAAAAAAAGAAAGGATATATGAAATTGGAATTATAGTCCATTTGCCTTCTTGAACAAAATGGTGACCAAAAATTTGTTTAGCTATTTTCTCATATACTATAGACTTCAGTGCAATTTGGCATTTGGCTAAATGTTATTGGGACTGGAGCTTACCCAAGATGAGGGTTTTAAACCTCAGAAGTACTAGTTATAGCCAGTGCTATTGGCTTTCTCTGTATTCTGACATTTGCATACTCGTTGAAACATAAGATCCAACTTTTTTTAAAATTTATTTTTCAATTACAGTTTACATTCAGTATTATTTTATATTAGTTTCAGGTGTACAGCATAGTGGTTAGACAATCATATACTTTATGAAGTGTTTCCCTCTGATATTTCCAGTACCTACCTGGCACCATACATAGTGATTCCAATATTATTGGCTATATTCCCTATGCTGGACTTCATATCCCCGTGCCTATTTTGTAACAACCAATTTGTACTTCTTGATCCCTTTGCCTTTTCACCCAGTCCCCTAGCCCCTCCCAGCTGGCACCATCACTGTGTTCTTTGTGTCTATGAGTCTGCTTCTGTTTTGTTTGTTCATTTATTTTGTTCTTTCGATTCCACATATAAGTGAATCATATGGTGTTTGTCTTTCTCTGTAAGACCCAACTTCTTAACAGGCCCTTGTTTCCTCTGACAAAGGTCTCCTGAGTATCCTTTTTTATGTCTGATATTTTATAAGGATGTTCAGTAAATGACTCAAATTCTGCTTTAAGTACTTTCTCTAATTTTTTTTTGATGCATTTTAATTATGATGTGTCTGGGCATGGGCCTGTTTGGGTTCTTCTTGCTTGGGGTTCTCTGTGCCTCCTGAACTTGTGTGACTTTTTCCTTTACCAGGTTAGAGAAGCTTTCTGCCATTATTTCTTCAAACACATTCTCTATTCCTTTCTCCCTTTCTGCATCTTCCGGCACACCAGCTATTCTAATATTGTTGCATTTCACGTTGTCCCACAGCTCCCTTAAGCTGTCCTCCTGTTTTTTCATTATTTTTTCTTTTTGGTTCTCTGATTGATTTTTTTTTCAATCCTGTCTTCGATCCTTAGCTTCCCCACTGCTGTGTATTCCTTCCAATGTGTTTTTTATTTGTGTTATGTCATTCTTTATTTCCAATTGTTCTTTTTTCATAGTTTCTGTATATTTTTTCTTGCTGTTAAGCATCTTTACCATCATTACTCTGAACTCTGTTTCAGATAACTTTCTTATCTTTGTTTCATTTATTTCTTCTGGAGAATTTTCTTGTTTTTTCATTTGGGGGTTGCTTCTTTGTCTCCTCATTTTGGCTGTCTGTTTGGATCTGATTATGTATTAGGTAGATCCTCTATACCTCTCAATCTCTAGTACAGGACAGTGTCAAACACTGTTTCTGACTAGTTAGAACAGGCAAAGACTCAAAGCCTCCAGAGACCGCTTCTGCCTACAGACTGATAGGATCCCCCACCCAGGTAATGTCCTAGGGAGTGGCAAGAGTTTTTTCAACAGGGCCGGGCAGTTGTTTCTGCTTGGAGGCTAGTAGTAATTTTTAGTCTCTTAAGTGGCCTCATGGCAAGGTGTTTTCCAGTAGGGTGCATCAACTGTCTTTCCCCCAGGCAAGGCCTCCTATATAGCAAATGTCTGTGTGGGAAAAATGTCGTCTGCTGTGTGAGGGAATGACTCAGCCTAGGAAACTTGGGGTGTCTGCCTTCTGAGCTCTAACCTCCGAGTCCCCAATCCTGGCTTCTGCTTACACAGCTCTAGTCCACTCTGCCCTCCCTCTGCCAGAGCACAAGGTGGGTGACTCTTATGAAGAAAATAAGACATTTTGGGGGTGGGGGGAGATCAGCAGCCTGACTCTGTACCTAGTTAATTAGTATCCCTAATGCACATTCCTGTTAGCCTATAGCAGGTGGGCAAACTTTTTGACTCGAGGGCCACAATGGGTTCTTAAACTGGACCGGAGGGCCGGAACAAAAGCATGGATGGAGTGTTTGTGTGAACTAATATAAATTCAAAGTAAACATCATTACATAAAAGGGTACGGTCTTTTTTTTTTTTTTTTAGTTTTATTCATTTCAAACGGGCCGTAGTTTGCCCACGGCTGGCCTATAGTCTAGTCACTGCCCCTTCCTTAATTATCTGGTCTTGCCAGACCTGTTTACCTAAATACTCACATTTTACAGAGGCCATAAACCATGAACAATACACAATTCTTGGACGGGGTTATCAGTGCTGGCGCCAGGCCAGGCCTTTAGGTGTGGTCTCACAGCACCCATCCCAACACATGGGGCTTTTTGCAAAGCCCGAGAAAGGTCCAGAAGTCTTATTTGGGAGACAAAGAAACCAAAGGGTATAAAGAGAAAGCTTCCTCTATATTGGTTTGCTCAGGATTTGGAAACAGGCTCCCCTGAGTCACGGTACTAGTACATCTGGAAATAAATGGGTTTTTCCTGTATCTCCAAGTACTGCTGTGTGTATTTTCCAGTTGCCTGGTAAATTCTGTAACAGCTCTACAGGGGATTTTGTGCATTGGCCCTTTAAGAGGGTGCCTGACTTTTCAGCTGTCATCCCTGGCTGCTTTTCACAGGGAGATGTTATGTGGGTACCCTTCTCAGTTCTGGTGTTCTCTGCTGCAGGGCCCACCTTGGGGATTAGACCCCAGAGTTCTCAGTGGCAACCCCCCACAGCTGAGATATCTCTCTGGAATTTCACTTGCTGCCTATGGACACCGGCCAGCCCTTTCACGCCTCCACCCTCTATCCCTCTTATGGCCTCCATTTTCAGTCCTCAGGTATCAGGGTTCTCTCCTGTGAGTCTTCTGTTGGTGATTCAGGGAGTTTTGCTGTATTTTAATTGTAATTCCAGTTTGTTCTTGGGAGCATGTCCGTGCTGCATCCACCTACTCTGCCGCCATTTTTAATCTTTTAAGTATTAAAAAGAGATAGGAAGAGGTAATTAGTACAATGAGTGTTTGGATTTTGACTGCATTTAAATAACAGTGAGTGTTTACCACTCTTGAGCAGTAGTGGACAGCATAGTCGGCAGTTCTGGGCAGCATATCTTTTTTATCCCTCTTTTTAAAATTAAATTTATTGGGGTGACATTAGTTAATAAAATTATATAGGTTTGAATTGTACAAGTCTATAATACATCATCTGTATATTGCATTGTGTGTTTACCACCCAAAGTCCAATCTCCTTCCGTCACCATATATTCGACCCTTTTACCCTTGACCACCCTCCCTCTTCTTCCCCTTCGGTAACCACAATACTGTTGTCTGTGTCTGTGAGTTTTATCTACATATCGCTGATCTGTTCAGACTGCTGGTATTGAGAGGCAAGACTGAACCCACACTGTTTGGGTACGTATTAGGATTTATCCTATTTTGATGTCTAAGGAAGAAGATTCAACACCCTCAGTTACTCTTTGATGCCTTAACCCAGCTACATTTAAAAATATATATATTTTATTGATTTTTTACAGAGAGGAAGGGAGAGGGATAGAGAGTTAGAAACATTGATGAGAGAGAAACATTGATTCAGCTGCCTCCTGCACACTCCCTACTGGGGATGTGCCCACAACCAAGGTACATGCCCTTGACCGGAATCGAACCTGGGACCTTTCAGTCCGTAGGCCGACGCTCTACCCACTGAGCTAAACTGGTCAAGGCCCAGCTACTTTTTATATAGTCACAATTTTTTTCACTGAAACTTATGCCCCCTTCCCCCCTTGTGTTTTAGGGAAGACTCAGTCACCAGTGGATGCTATCTCAGTGACCCAAAGGAGATGAAACACTTTCATGCCGACATTTTGGTATTGTCAGAAAATTTTTAAAATTTAGAAATGGTAGCCCTTTTTAAGAATGTTAAGTCATCCTTATTTTTAGTTGGAGTTTTGAAAAGTCAAAATTGCTTTTAAACAAAGGTCAGTCCACGTTTAATAATATTATATCAGTCACAAGTCATAATACATCAGTCTAAATTTGCTGAGCATGTTAATGCAAACAGAATGTCTTACAGTGAAAATGACCTCTTGGCTGGTCTTCTAAAGCCACCGCTTTGATATATTTATGGGAAAGCATATCAGCGTTATTGAAAAAGCTGTGATTAATTAGTGATTTATTTTATTTTATTTTTTTAATTACAAAAGTGCCTAGAGGGTGATTGGAGAATGTGTTCAGTAATTACATTTAGAGCAAGGGCCTTTGAAGAAGGCTTCTCTTCGGGTTGATGTATGTGGAAGATTTATGGCATAAATCTCTCTACCTTTTCCACGTTCTACCTTAACATCTTCTTTTCCAGCTAATTTGGGCATAGGAATCCCACTTCTGGCCAGTAACTTTATCAGCCCAAATATGACTATCCATCTGCAGAGTGAAAATGGAATCCTGGGTTTGGTAAGATAGAAATGAAAGTTTTATTTATGCAGTCTTTTTTCCCCCTGCTCATCTTTTTTTTAAAATTTATCTTTATTGGTGAAAGTGTTACATATGTACCCTTCCCCACCCCCCAAACCCCATTGACCCCTGCCTACCCCCCTGCCCCCCTGCCCCCCGGCCTTCATCATTGTCTGTGTCCATGGGTTATGCATATATGCACACAAGTTTTTTTTGGTTGATCTCTTCCTACCCACTCACCCACCCCTGCTTTCCCTCTGAGATTCCGCAGTCTGTTCCATGTTTCTATGTATTTATGCAGTCTTGATGGAGAACTAGCTATTCCATGTAGTGAAATCTTCTAATAACTGAGAATTGTTAGCTTAAAATTCCCAGCCTTCCTTTTCTATTTGCTTATCATCACAATAAAATATTTAACTTTCCCATACAGTGGTGGTCACTGTGAGTATGCAGTGTTATATTTGCTGCAGTAGATGTCGTTTCCTGACTATGCAAGTTTTTTCACTGCTCCTCCTTTATGAGGTAGTGGGTTTCCATCTCCCCTGGTGCCTGCTTCAGAGGACTTCACAGTTTGCTCTTTAGTTAACTACTTTTAACTCTTGTGTGGCTGGACGTGAATGAAGGTTAACCAGTCTCTGTGAAATAAAATTCAGTAAGGCTCTGAGTGAACACTGGAGAGTAAGGTTTCTGTTTAGGGCAGGGACATTTTTTTGACAGTTGATTAATTAAAAAAGTCTTAGCAATTCTTCTCATCAATTTGTTTTAAGGTCCTGTTGTCCCAAAGGGTAGAATTTTCTTTTCCTCAGAATTAACCTTGCAGGTGAGCTCAGTATTCTCAGAGAATTTGACCACCGTTTTTCCTCAGTATTATAATGAGAAAAAGAAGCACATTTGCTTCCTGAATGACATTTTTAATTTAATTATTAACTATGGCAGAGATTATTTATAATTTGCCAATTTATAATATTCCTAATCTTTATTGTTCCTCAGTGGATTATAACTGTTAATGCAATAAAAATTATATATGTAAAAATGTTTATCTGGTATTTATAATGTAAATAATGACTATAAGCATAGAGTCGATCCTGGTTGATAATGGCAATAATCATGACCATTTTCAAAGACGAAAATGGTATGTGTTTGGATGAAATCAGATTCGTATTGAAGTCAGAGACTTAGGCCCTGGTGGTTTGGCTCAGTTAGTGGAGTGTTGGCCCTTGGACTGAAGGTTTGCATGTTTGATTTTGGTCAAGGGCGCGTACCTTGGTTGCAGGCTCCATCCCCAGCTCTGGTCTGGGCACTTATAGGAGGCAACCAATCATTGTTTCTTTCTCTGTGTCTCTCCCCCTCCCTTCCACTCTCTCTAAAATCAATGGAAAAATATCCTCTGGTGAGGATTAACAAACAAACAAATAATAAAACAAAAAAGAAGACGTGTATTGTTTGGGTACCTTAGGGATTATCTAGAGTGACCAGTTCCCTCAGTTTGAAATAAGGGAAATAAGTTTACGTGAATTACCCAGGGTCAGTGTTTAAAAGGAAATTTACATAGGTCTAAACATTAGTTACCACTTCAATTTACTTAAAAAATAGAATTTCGTTCCCTTAGAAAGTCTGTTAAAATTTTACAGTCAATATGTCCTCATTCTTGGTTCTATCTTATGCCTTTTTCTTTTCTCCCTTTTTGATTAATATATGTTATGTTACAGAACTCCTTGCCCCATTCAAGTAGAGATATCTTATAAAAATGCATACAGAATTTTTTAAAAACTTACTAAGAATAAGTGGGCAAAGGGAAAACAAAGGTATCAAAACTCAGATGTTTTGAACAATAAGGTTAGGACCCCAAATTCAAGCTTTTGACTTCTGCATACCAAAAAGCTGAAACTTGGCCTCTGTTGGTCTTTTTAGCCAAATAATGCAGCCATTTAGTTTATATTTGCTAGGAGGAAGGTTTATGAATAACATTGCTGCATAGTAGGCCGTGAATACTTTTTGTTTTATTGTCATATATTTCTTTTTTTCTTTTTTTTTTTAAAATATTTTATTGATTTTTTATAGAGAAGAAGGGAGAGGGATAGAGAGTTAGAAACATCGATGAGAGAGATCGATCAGCTGCCTCCTGCACGCCCCCTACTGGGGATGTGCCCGCAACCAAGGTACATGCCCTTGACCGGAATCGAACCTGGGACCCTTCAGTCTGCAGGCCGACACTCTATCCACTGAGCCAAACCGGTTGGGCAATTGTCATATATTTCTAACAATTTAATATTACTTTCAAACTTTGATCATATTTAGAAAATATTTTTCATTTACCCAGTCACAATTATTAGTGTAGGAAAGACTAATCAATATTAGAAACACAGCCATACAAATACCAGAATTATCTTTTGAAGATTTACCTTAAGTCTTCTGAAGACGATTTCCTGGAGTTTTTAGAGACGTTGTTTATATTACAGTATTAGTGTTCAGTTCAGTGAGAAACTTCTGTTACTAATTGACATTGACTCATTTGTTTCATTTGACAGGGTCCATATCCATTCGAAAACGAAGTTGATGCAGATCTAATCAATGCAGGTAAACTCACTCATTACGAGTTTCCCAGTGTTTTCCTTGCTGTTGATTTAGTTCTATTCCAGATACCAGTAAGGAGGTGAGCTTGCTTCTCTGTCTTTTCTTAGAGAGTAGTCACTGTATTTTTCATTGAGGAGGGGAGATGAGCTTTCAAGCCCCATCTTTGCCTGACTTCTTGTCAGAGGACTGTTATTAGTGAGACTAAGCTCAAGGCAAAATTCTAGGTGGAGCTACATCCCTTGGTGAGAGCTCTGGTGGTTTGATCGGTCAGGGTCCCGGCTATAAATGGGGGTATTGAGGAGCCTGAAGGCTGGGACAGTCGACAGGGGTGTGGACAGGATTAGGGAAACCAGGAAAGGATGGTAAGATACCATGGTACAGGGAGTTACTATTATTACCCCTAGGCAGGCCTTAAGGGGCAGCTGTCAGAGAGGGTCCGTCACCTAACAGGAACTATGGCCTTTGGTATGAAGAATTAGGACTGCTTAAACAAAACTCTTATATATATGAAAAACTGCAACAAAGGTTAGGAAACATAGCCAAAGACATCTCCCAGAAAGAACAAAAATACAGAGAAGGGAAGGAGCACAGCCAGGTTGAGGGTGAGGTGGTCTCCTCCACTGGGTCTCCTGCTTGAGCCTCCCCTTGGATAATTCCAGGTTGAAATAGGTCTGCACTCTCATGATGAGAAGAGTGTGGGTGTGGATCCATAGGGGCAAAAAGAAAAGATCTGGTGCATGGAGGTTTCTGTTATAGGAGCCACTTCCTGTCCGCTAGTCCTCATCAGAGTCAGAGAGCATCCTTCAGAGGTTCAAGGGTGGTGCTGAAGGGAGTGTCTGCCATTAAGTATGACCCAGTGATATGAGTAATATATAGAGTTTCTTTGAATTCGGGAGTCTAATCTTGTCAGCTCCTTGTTCCCACACTCAGATGGTTTACCTCTTATTATGAGCTCTTTGTGCAACTAGAACCTAGAGTCCATGCATTAGCAACCTGAAGGAGGAGAGCAGGTTGGAGGCCCTGGCCAGCGTCCCTGCCCATGCTGGAGGCACCACTGCTGCCTCTGTGCTGGGGCCGATGATTATCCTTAGCATGGGACTGCCCACGAGAAGATAATTTTTATGCGATTCTTAGCCTGCTTGTCTGTACCCTTCTTTTACTCCTATTCACTCTATCGCTGAAAACGTATTATTCTTACTCCACCTTCAAAAATAGTAGGTGCCAATCTCAGAAGAGAAGGAAAATGGGCTGAGCTTAAAGGCCAGATGCCGAGAAGAATTGATGTTTGATTCTTAGAGAATTTTTGGAAGTAAAACAGCTTCTGGTTGAATAGTTGAATTAGTTAACATGACTCAACGCTGAAAGGCCCACTGTGATAAAGCAATGACATTTAGCCAAGGCTGTAATTTAATTGTGCTGTACCCTTTAGCAGTCGTTCATTGATCTGTGAAAATATTTGCTTCTTGGCTTAATTAATTTATGATGTTAGTGAGTTATTTGCAAAATGAATAACTCCATTTTCTAAATTTCAGGCTTGAGTTCATGGAACCCACTTTCCTTAGAAAAATAGTTAATCTTTTCTAATGACATTGTTGGATGGTAGGCGTTTCTGATTGAGTTTAAAAGTAGCTCCATCCTAACGAAGCCACCAGTTTTGTATTTCAACTTCTGAAATGTCACGTATAATCTTAAACTGCTTTGTAAAACAGTAATTCAGTGCTTTTGGGAAGCCAAGCTGCAAATCAGTTTAATAATATTCTAACTCTTTCATCAAAGTCCTCTTTGGGATTTATGATGCTTTAGATTTTGGAGCTGTCCAAATTAGGGAGGAAAAGCTTTGAGCTAGAGAACCCAGGATACAAATTGTCAGTTTCCTCAACTCCTCAAACTTGAAAATTACCTGAGCGATCAGCCCATTGTTTGTGTTAAGTTGAAAGGAATTTTTTTTTAAAAAAAATACAAGTTTCTTGAAATGAATGTTGAATTAAGTGTCTGGGTAAAATCAGTGCATGAAATTTTAAAATAATAATAAAGCTATTTCTAAGGATCCCATTTTTCTAAATAATAATCTCATATGACTATGTAAAAACAAATCACCACTTCTATAACACTATGTAATTTACAGCATACTTTTTTAGTATGCTGTATGATATAGTTTGAGCCTCAGGTGAAACCTCATTATACAGATTGGGAAACAGCCCAGAAAAGTGAAGTAAGGTGCTCAAAATCACATTGCTAGGGACTGGACACACACAGTCTTCTAGGCTTGGCTTCTGGCCTTTGCCTCCTATACACTGAGCCCTTTTTCTTTAAGGTATTGATTGTATTATTAGTTATAGTTATTTTTTTTGACCCTATTTGATATTGCACTTGAAAAGCATGGATTCAGCTTTAGAATATCTATTTCTGTTTAGTTACTGGATATATAAAAATGCTGAAAATTAACTTTGCTTCTGAAAAATGTAATTTGTAAGAGACCAGAATGTATTGGCAGGGGCCTGGCAGCTCCCTGCATGAGAAGTGCTGTCCGGGCTCTTTAATAAAACTGTGCTTCATAAATCACATAGGGAGAGCTGAGGCTCCGCAGTGACCCCAGGGTTGCCTGTGACGTGGTAAATAGCGCCTGGCATGTCCATCAGCCTGTGGAAATTGCCATTGCGAAGTCACTGTGATTTAACACAGAGACCAAAGGAACGGAGACGTTATGTTCCTCTGCTTTACTGTCCTACCACATAGTCCTGCTTGCTCTCCACCTCACAGGATTGGTGAGGACCGGAATTTGCTGGACATGGAATTTGTGTCAGGATAAGGTTCAGTTGTATTAGGCCTGTCCTGAAACCTGGGGTCCACAGGCTGGCTATATGACCCACCATAACAGTCACGCTTGGTCCTGTAGTAGTAATTCCTTGAGGGGCGACAGCATTGTTCAGAGAGAGGAATGACAAGGCTAACGTTTATGGGGTCCTTTCTCTGTGCCAGGCACTAGGCTAAGGACATTGCATGCATCATGTCATTTCATCCCTCAACTCTTATGTGCTGTCTAAAAGCTCCTACTAACCACACTAGAAAGTATTTTCTAAAGCTTTTCAGCTTTATGGTACTTTGAAAGATGTGAAAATGTTTTTGTTGTTTAGCATCCAACTCCTTTGGGGGATAAATATTTCAGCATGATATAAATAGTCTTCCTCTTTCTCCACATTCGAGCTCAGATGGAGAGGGATATAGATGGAGAAGTGAGCTTTCGGGCAAGACTTGAGAAGCTGGGTACTGCTGTGCTGCACGGCTGGGCATGGTCAGACCTCTCTGGTCCTGTTGTGTCCAGGATCCTTTCTCTATTCCTTCCCTATCTTTTTCTCTGTCCTGTTACACCGGGGTAATGCACGGTAGGTCATACAGTTGACCTACCTTTGACAAAGGGCCTGTGAATACTATTCTGGTCGAGACCAGAAGCTTCTGGGCACCCGAAGCTCCTGGACAGACAGGAAATAGATCACAAGAAGAAAGGAGCATAGATGTTAGTATTAGATGATAGTATTAGATGAAGATCTTGCGCAGTTCTGAACTTCTATTATGAGATGTAAGTTTTGAGAGCAGTCCTCTTGAGGGTTACATTAAATACACTGGCCAGTATTAGAATGTTATTCCCTAATTTTACCAAAGTCCTAGGTTCTTAATAGGGTCAAGAGAGGAAAGATGAGAGGGGGAGAGAGAGATTGAGATGGAAAGAGAAGATTCAACCCTAATGATGTTAAAGAATCTTTCTAGGTTATTCATTGTTTTTTTTTTTAAAAATATCTGAGGTGCATCTCCTGTGGTATTCCCTTCAGAATTGCATTCCTTTATGGTTATTCCACAGTCTTTTTGCTCCAGCGACCACGGTAGCACTGGATTCTTTCTCCTCAGTCCTGTTAGCATATAGCACCTGCTGGTGAGGGGAGTGGGGCTGCTGGGGGGCCTGGAAGGGTATTGCATTGTCTGTAGAGAACTTCAGAACAATAATAAAATGAAAAAAATGGGTTTGCTCTTTATTACCACCATGCAAGGGCAAATGTGAACAGTGTTAGTGACAGCATGCTCCTCTCCACAGGGCGGGCAGTTTCCACTGTGTCCCCCACACCCCCAAATGCCACTGCATTTTACCTTCATTCCTTCGGGAACAGAAAAGGAATAGATCCCTCTCTCCACCACAGTACTCTTAGAAATCTAATAGCCTTTTTTTCCCTTTGTCGTGTGTGTGTGTGTGTGTGTGTGTGTGTGTGTGTGTGTGTGTGTGTGTTTAGGCAAGGAAACAGTTACTGTTCTTCCAGGAGCCTCTTACTTCTCCAGCGATGAGTCATTCGCGATGATTAGAGGGTATGTAATGACAAAGCCGCTCACGTTTCACAGTGTGGAAGGAGCTGAGTCACTGGCTGAGCGTGTCAGCCAGGCTCTGAACATAGACACGTCTCCCCGCCAGAAAACCATCCTGGGCTTGTTCGGCTGCACAGAGATGTGAAATTATTCACATCGGATGTCGGGAATGGGAACAGCCAGCCTGCTGTTATTAAAAGAGCCCCCCAAATGGAATTTATATCTGTGTGCCAGCTATCACGAAGCAAACATTTTTAAAAAGTTCTTTCTGAGGCCCCTGACATTTTCTACAAACTTGGTGTTCATTTTCTAGCTCATGTTTGCCTTCCAATCAAGCCACATGCGCCCTCACTGAAGGCAACAAACTCACTGTGTACAACTGTATTAATTTGTCTTTTGGAAGCGATGAGCTATAATTTTTAAAAAAGAACTCTTAATGGTTATTTCTCTACATCAGCTTGAGCTGATGTATTTGAAATCAGGTGTTGGGTGGGGGAAAGCAATTGCATTTTGGGGAATATAGAGTTATTTATTTTAATTGCTGGCAATTTCCAGTGAAGGGACATGAAGCTTGTGAAGTTTGCCTGTTAATTCCTCTTTCTCTTTCTCAGAGGACATGTCAACCTGACCATGCTAGGAGCCATGCAGGTTTCCAAATATGGTGACCTGGCTAACTGGATGATCCCTGTAAGTGGACATTTTCCTTTTGAATTATGCTTGGGTCAGAATACTTATTTTTGAAACATTAAGGAAAATCCTGTCAGATTGCCACGAGAGTACAAAATAATTATTTTAGCAATAAAGAAATATTGTATCATGTTTTCTTATTTGAGTCAAATTTTAATTAAGCAAACCCTGAGAAATATTCAGCTTTGCCAGTTTATTATGTAGCTGGAACTAAAAATAGGCAAGATCTGGGCCAAAGTAGAATTTTCCATAAAGAAAGAGGTAGGGAAGATTTAAAAAATGGTATAATTATGCTCTATCATAAAAGTAAGAAATACAAATGTTTATTATAAGTAACTCCTTATAACTGGAAAGAGCACTGAACAAGTTTATAAATTTTATATTAATCCTATTATTTTCTTATTCACAGTGAGTGATTAATGTCCTCTCTTTTTTTAATATATATATTTTTTATTGATTTCAGAGAGGAAGGGAGAGGGAGAGAGAGATAGAAACATCAATGGTGAGAGAGAATCATTGATTGGCTGCCTCCTGTGCGCCCCCTACTGAGGATTGAGCCTGCAACCCGGGCATGTGCCCTTGACCAGAATCGAACCTGGGACCCTCCAGTCCGCTCTATCCACTGAGCCAAACCAGCTAGGGCTAAAGTCCTCTCTTGATTGGTCACATGACCCCAGAAGTAATCAATCACATTGTCTTCTATTATGGAAAACAAAACCTGGGATGTTCCAACATGCTTGTGAAATGCAGACGGTTTTCCTTTACTATTGACCTAAATGAGGGAAGAAACCTATCAGAATACACTTTGGAGAAAGGACTGCAATGAGCCGATTTAGGAATGTGGTTCATAGTATTCCAGTTGTCGCTTTCCAAAATGTGCACAGAGACCACAGTGAGCGCAGGGCCGGGATTATGAGCTCATTTGGTAGCTCAGGTTACTCTTCTGAGGTGTACTATGTTTAAGGATTCCTGTGTGTTTCTCTGTAGCACCAGCTAAAAAGAATTGGGTTTAGGAATTGAGGCTCTTGTTCTATGATTTGAGAGTTTTTGGAAATCTCTTAGATTTTAGTGATTACACTGTGTAACCAGGTTTGGGAACCAGTGTATTCAAGAATGCTCAGAATCCATATTTACAATGTAAGGGAATATATGATCGACCCCTTAGTAGTAGAAACCCTTAGCTAATTACTGATTATATTGCTGTTTTCCTTTAAAAATGTTTGTTGTTCTATATCAGCTGTGGTCACAAAAGGCTTTTGGAGGCTTCAACGAATCAGAGAGGGCCTCTTGAGCACTGTGCAGTGATGATAGGCAGTTTATGGAAATCAGAATGTATTTCTATTTTCAAATTTTAGAAAAAGGCCAGATGGGTAGTAGAAGGAACCTAGAAAAGTATCCCCTGGGTATTAGCCCTGATGTACCAGTAATGAAGGTGTGACCTTGAACATGGCATGCAAGCTCTTTGGGTCAAATCCTCATCTACAAACTGAGGGTTTATAATTCCAGGGGTCCCGTCTGGTTCTCATCGCTTAGCCGCTAAGAGCAAGGGCCTGGCAGTGAGACAGACCTGTGTGTTAAAATCCTACTTTTGTCACTTGCTGGCTGTGTAACATGAAGCAGTTGCTAGTACAACACACTCATCCTAAATTCATGTTCAATTACCCCAAATTAGACTCTTTGAGGACAGATTTCCTGCTCTGAATTGGTTATGGATGAGGTACAGTTTAGCCTCCTTACTCAGTTTCAGTGAGCAATCTATTTGCCCCAAAGATTTACTAGTATGTTGATTTATAAAATGTAGATATATTTTTATTGCAAGATCTGGCAGTCAAGCATCTGCAAAGTTCAGCTTTATTATATCATTTTTCATTTACTTTTATCTTCTTACTGGGTTTAATAATCTTTCAGTGGTTGCAAAGCCTTGAGTTTTTCTGCATCGTGGCATGCCCATTAATCACTGCGATGTCAGATGCATTAAGTTTTAAGGCAGGCAAATGGTGTTGGATGCTCTTTGTCTTATTCTTTAGTAGCTTCTTAGTATGCAGCATTGGTCCTGTGTACACAGATTTTTTAAAAATTCTGCCCTGAGCATCTGAAGAGAGAAAATTGAACAAAACAGCAACTCGGCTCCTTCCAGTTCCCTGATTATTACGTTGATGGTAAAACCCAGGCAAGTTACGAAAATGTAGAAAGACGTGCAATAGTAGAATCTATATTCAGAACTGCTCTGGCTTTCCTAATGCCTATTTTTGAAAAACAGCTGCCATGGATTATTGACTTGTGAAGGGAAGCAGATGTGTATGATCAGCTCTGGAACTGGTTATTGAAAGAATGCAGCTGTGGCCCATGGGATGGGGCTGCTGTATGTAAACCATGCAACAGCCAAGGGCCTGCTCCTTCTACGTGGAGAGCTGAAATGAGGGATTTGTAAGGCAGAGAAGAATAGGGTGTTTTGGTGCTTGTTTTTTCCTTACATTTTTAAAAAAAGAATAAAAATTAATGTCATACTCATGTATGCTACATGTATGAGTGCACAAAATTGATTTGGTCTTCTAGATATGACGTCTGTTCTAAAGAAGGTAGCTTTCTTGTCTTCCTACTTATATAATTAAAGGGTTTGTGTCCAAGATTCAATCTAGGGGTTTTGTTGCATCGGTTGTAGTATAAATATTAAATCTGCAGATACAGATATAGAAATATAAAGATTATGAAATAAAGATATAAACATATATATATGTTTATATCTTTATATGTTTATTTATTTTTTTTTTTTTTCTAGTCAGGTTCTGTCTTTATTGTCCTGTTACATCTGTATTTATACCAGTTGATTTTAATCCTATCCATTCTATTCCAAAGGTTAGGGCGTTTCTTATCTCCATTCCAAGGTTACTCTATTGTTCTATTAAGCTACAAGGAAGTAACTGAAGGAGATTATCCTAAGTAAAGATTATGTAGCTTAAGCGTGATTGTTTGTAGTTATCGTAGTTAAAGTGATTAATTACCCGCCTGGCACTTAGTTAAGGGGTTTTATTCCCTCCCTAACTCCAGGGAAAAATCCCCACCTGGGGAAACAACCTTTCTTGGAGAGGTGGTCCTGTTTAAAACACATAGTGCTAAGAGGGGTAGCAAACATATGTATATACCAGGTCCCTTGAAACATAAGCTGTGCAGATGTTTCTTTCCTGCAGCGACTGTGTCAAGCAGCAAGGGTGGACCGGCTTCTGGCAAATTCCCCCATTTTTATTTTTTAAATGACAGAGCGTGTAAATCAGCGGCCACCTCTCCGATTGGGTTAAGACTCGGAAGAAGACTTGTTTGTGACTTTGCCACCAGGTCAGTCCTAGGCTTAACCCTATATAGGCTCCCCACAACCAAGAAAGGGAGTCAAAAGCAAAAGGAGGGGCTTAGGACCAAGCCTTGAAGTTGGACAATACAAGAGAAAAAATTTCAAAGGAGATCAAATAAAAGTGGACAGAGGAGTAAGAGGTAAACCAAAAGAGTTCAATGTTCCAGAAGCTAAGAAAGAAGGATCAGCTTCTAGAAGATAGATTAAGGTGAGGACACTGAGTTGGTCGACACAGACACCCTTGGAGAGCTTGACAAGAGCATGATGAGAGGAATGCAGGAGAAAACCCTACCAGCGTGAGTTAAGGACTTGAAAATGGAGGTAAAGAAGTAGAGAGGACTCTTTCTGCTTAGTATTAGTAGTCTCTGTAGGAAACAGAGAATAAGTTCAAGATAAGCTTCTTACTGTGCATATCTATATGTTTACGTATATATGGTTTTAACATTATGATTCCTGTTCATTTGGTACCAATTCTGAGGAAACTAAAAACTATGGATAAGGGAAAAGGACAGTTAGAGAATATGTATTTGACAGTATGATGCTTTTATAATTATTTAGTGATGCTTTTGCTGTATCAGTGTACTGTAGGGGAAAGTGCACAGAACTTTGGAATTAGGCCTGTGCTTAATGCTGGTTCTGTCACTTACTGGTGGCATGACAAATTATTTCATTTTAGTATACGCTTCTGTAAAATGATAATACTTAACTCATATGCCTGTTCTATAGGTTAGTTTGTTCGTTCAACAGATATTTATTAGACATATATTAAAGGCCATGCACTGGTTGGAGATGCAGCAGGTAACAAAATGGATTAAATTTTCCACATTTATGAAGCTAATATTCTAATGGGGATCAGCAAATATGGTCCACGTACCAAATCTAGCCCCACTGCCCGTTTTTGTAAATAAAGTTTTATTGAAATACAGCCACTTTATTACCCATAGCTGTTTTTGTGCTACAACAGCAGAGTTGAGTAGTTGCAATGGAAACCATATGACCTGCAAAACCTAAAATATTTAGCTCTTTACAGAAAAGTTTGCCAATTTCTGCCATAGATCGTTGATTTGAAACCTTTATTTTCTAATATAACTTAGTAATGCTATAAGTTTCTCTGTTAGCACATATTAGTGACATCCCACCAATTTTTGCATGTTGTGTTTTCATGTTCATTCTCTTCCAAATATTTCTAAGTTCCCTTGTGAGTTTTTTTTTTTTATAACCTATTTGTTATTTAGAAGTATGTCATTAAATTTCCAAATATTTGGTGATTTTTCCAAAAAAAACCTCTGTGTTTACAGAGCAGGCAATGTGCCTTCCTCCTCTGGAGGGTCCCTTAATCCTCTTCCCTTTTGTTCTGGAGACCTTGCTTTGGGCTCTTAGCAGTTATTATTTCTTATCAACATTGTTCCAGCGCTGCTATCGTTGGTCACTTTAAGAAACAGCATTGATGGAGACTTTTCTTTGTGTTAGTGGATGTCTTAAGAGACCAGCTGTTAACAAGCATGTGTGTGATCGTGTTTTCCGTATCCAATATGTTGAACAAGCTCCACGTGGGATGAAATCAAAACACAGCTATTTTTATCTCGTGTGGCACCTTTAACTTTATGCAGTCAGGGAAGCTTTCCCTCTGCATGGCATTTCAGCTCATTCTTAG